GAAAACAACTTTGCTTCGAGAAACATAAGTAATGAAAATATGCTGTAGTAATTATATAGTCCACAGGGTTTGAGAACTGAGTATTATGTAATGTCAATGAATAACCACGAAAACAGGCGTGTTTTCAGTTTCGAAAGAGTTGACTTGTTAGTAAACTTAGAAAACAAAAGTTATGCGAAATAAACTCGTACGATATTGTAGCAACGCAGCTATGGTTAAAAATATTCTCACTCAGAATGCGATTATAGATTTTGGCTACGATGGTTCGCATTTCATTTTTACAAAAGTAGTTATCTGTTACTATTCGAAAGAAAAAATATTATACTTGATCTGATATTTTGACAGTAATCTGAAAATGTCATACGGTTAGTAACCATTTTATACAGTATATGCATAAACTGATATGCCAAACAGTTAAAATACGTGTAAAATAGTTATAGATCGTATAAAATGTTAAAAAAGTAGATTTATGATTATATTTTTAAATTCAAATGATATTAATGTCAGTAAAATTTATTGTTGTAATAAAGAAAAATGTTTTATAAAGTTAAGAAAACAATAATATTAGAATACTATTGCTTAGTTATACATAAAGATATGTTTGCTATTTTTAAGCAGTTTATAACGATTCAAAAGAATGTACTTTTCAACAGCTTTATGTATAAATGTAATATATTTGTAATGACTTTTCATCGATACATCCATATAAAACATATAGAAATTATAATAAACTGGTCAATTATAGTTAAATTGCAATAACCACGGTTCTCATTTAGTATGATATTTATAATATTCTTAAATATTATAACAGGTACAGATTTATTCTTTTTATAGTATCAAATCAAATTTAGAAGCTTCAAAAGTCACAGTATTTGGTCTAAAGGTCGGACACCAATATAGTTTTCCTGAATTTATTTATTCCATATTTTAATTGTATGTATATTATGTTTAAATTATTGTTTACGTATAGAACAAATTATACCTGTTAACTTCTATTGTGTGTTATTTTTTTCATTAATACGAATGAATATTCTAAAAGTAAAGTACTGTATTTAATTCATGCAGAAATCATTATATTATAAAATTTTGTTTTATTTCAAAATTATGGTACTTATCTGATACGAGAAAAACAAAAACAATTAAATAATTTGATTTCCACACTAGCAAACAATATTAAACATTAATATTTGTTCGATAATACCGACTGTCATAACGCTGCTGCTCCAAAGGTATATAACCTCACCCCATTCGTTCTTACTTCTTACACAACTACCAAGTTGAAAGCTTAAACCCTTAGGTAATGTATTTTCAAAGTGGCAATTTATAAATGAATACCGGATACATTATTTACCATTTGTAGCATTAGATATTAAACAGCTGAACTGAAGTAACTTATCTCATGATTATTTACTGATGTACAAATAAAACCTACGTGCATTGAAGTTTTATATACTATTATGTTGGAAGATCTGTTGAAAAACTCATTCCAGAATTCGCTTAGTATTATTAATATTATAATGTAGAAGTTAATTTCATGTTTTTTTATGTTATTATTGATGAATAATTAAAAAAAAAAAGTTTTCAGTCATAAACAATTATTTAGAAATAATTTTTTTATAGTAATTTAATAAATTTATTTTACTCAGTAGTACAAGAATACAAGAATTAAAGATAAAATATAATTTAAGTAAATAGAAAAGTTATTAAATACAATTTATATACGAATTTATAATCACAGTATCTAATCAAATTATAATTAAAAACGATAAAATGTATAAAAAAATGGACTTAGTTTTTAAAGTATTAATAATTTAATATATGTATATTGTACATTGTATACATATCACAAAAAATCGGTAGCATTTGAATATTATTTTCTTTATTTTTGAATTGAACAATGCTAAACAAAAATAAATGTTGGATTTTTCATTCAGTTTTGTAACTTAAATATTTAGTATTATTATTAAAGTACCAAAAGTCTGTGTCGAAATTAAAATCGCAGAATTCAGCAAACAATAATTACCTTTCTTTTGTAGAATGAGCAAACATAAATGCGCTCATCACTGATATCTTTTATGTACTCATTTTGAAGACTAGAACTATAATGAAACGCCAAAGATCAGATAACAAATAATTGTAATATTTTCGGGGAGCTTATTCTTATGAGCTACTAATATATAGCGGTATATTGTGAATGTTATATATGTTTTTCGTTTTAATGAGAAAAAGTAATATTTCATGACTACATTATTTTTAATTTCAAAATGAACACTTTACTTACTATTCTTTGGCTGGAGCTTCTCATGAAACCTATACAATCGTTTTTTGATAATATTAGTTGTATTGTATTAAATACTGTATTAACAATTTTGTCTTCTAAAAATTTTGTATGAAAATATTTTAATCGTATAATCAGAATTTTTCTATGCAACATTTTATGCAAATATGTATCGAGTATATATTATCATGTATTAAAATTTCGTGTGATATAAAAATAATAATATTTTATTATTTATTATTTTGAGAGCAATAAAAAAAAAATCTAAAGACAATGACAAAAAAAAAAACACAGACGGGATAGATCTAAAGAAAAATATTTGCATTATAAACATCAAAAGGAAAGATTGAAAAAAAAATATAAAAAAAGATATAAAAATTAACGAGATAAATTTTATGAAAAAAAAAGTAATAAACGACTTAAGATTTAGTCCTAGTCGAGGAAAAATTTAAAAGTAAAATCATATAAAGAGTAAAATAATTGAGATCACTTAAGAGAAAGAGATAGAAAACCATTTAAAAATCACAGAAAAGAATACAAAAAATTAAAATACTATTAAATCTATGTAAGTATAATGTTAGTTTATACCAAAAGCTTTACTCTTAAAATATAACATTCTTTTTTTTTAACGTTCTTAATTTGTAGTTTATTCTTCCATTATAGTTTTAATAATCATTCATTTTTTATTTGATTGTGAAAATAATGCACAGTTGTCATCTTTTTTTTTTAAATTAATTTGTTCACATTAGCTTTTTCATGCAAGTAATTTAATTCAAGAGTAGACTTAAGTAAGTTCACTTTAGGTGGTTGCAATGATGTACATCTTATGTCATTATGCGATTTAGAAGCTGGTAGTATTTCTTTATCTAATGATGCTAAAGAACCATGATAGTTAAATTTAATCAAACGTCCGGCCTCCGATTCTATATCAGACAAGTCTTCTTTGTTTTCTTCTTCTTTTTAAAAAATTGAAGGTCTAATTATTCATTTTTTATAATTTTATTACAAATTTCATAATAATACAATAAAAAATTAAATTAAAATTAAAAACTAGTAAATGTGTGATATTTTAAATTTATATTATTATATAATTTCAATATAATATATATAATAATTCATATAAATTACCTAATAAATAATTAGGAGCATTTAGTTCTTTAAGATATAAAAATAAGCAAGACTATAAATCTCCAACGATTATCAAGCATAAAAAAAAAATATAAATGCCTTTATATGTGTTGATTTTAATATTTCATATAATCATTATTTTTTTTCGTCATTAATAATTAGTATTCATCTTTATGACTAGTATTTATATGCTTTTTTAAGTTTGAACTATGTTTACCTACTAGTTCTGGATTAGGACATCCATTTATTTTACAAATTATAAATAAATAATATTTCATTAAACGTCATAAACGCACTTTATCGTATGAAAACGTTCGCTGTTAATAACAAAGATCCCTGCCTATAATATTATAAATTATTTATAATTATAATGAAATCTAAAATGTTTAACTTATCAGTTATAATGTAACTCAGTGAGGATTGTTATTTACTTTCATGTTTATAAATTATTATTGTTCTCACAATATTATAATCTTTAGGATTACGATCTATGACAATATTATTTGTGTATAGTTGTAGAAATCCAGCTATTTTTAGATTTAGATATTCCAGTACAATTTATAATAAAGATGACCGGGATTATCGAGTACCGACTAACGATATTACGTTTATGGTTTATGTTATGGGTAGATAGAATATCACAATTATTTGAATTATTACTACACGAATTTAGTCTAGGGGAAAATATTAAAACAATGAAGATAGTATGAAATGTAATTATTTAATATCAATATTAAAATTTAGAATATATTAATATTAGACTTTTGTAATTTATAATAGCTGCAAAGTACAAACTTATAATTATATATAGCAAAATTAAATTAAACATTTTATAGTTCATACTGTTCATAGGTAAAGGTAGTCGGTACTCACTAATTATAAAGCCGGGGTTTCCTATACACCGTGCACCATGTGGCCGTCATTATTATTATGTATGCACATACAATCCCACAACGTTTTGGTACTAATGGTAACAGCTACATACCACTTGGGTAACTACATATCAAGGTACTTTGTAGGTTACCTGATAAAAATTATCTAATTATTTTTAAATTATAATCAAATTAAATATATTTAGAAAGTGCAGAAAATTAAGTAATTATAAATAGCGTAATAATAATAAATATTAAAATAATCATTGATAGTCATTATAACTTGAATTATCTAGTACCAGCATTACCACTGTATTACCAAACGGTGAAAAGTTGAATCAAATTCAACTTCGTATTATAAGTGGTATACATGACATACAATGATAAAAAACATTTAATTCCTGCTATCAACCACACGGTTCAGCCAATCAAAATGTCTAATGTAACTAATACTCGAGACACGGTGCACAGTGTATTGGAAACCCGGCTTAAATATCGGTAATCGGTTCTTAACCGTTTAACACATACCTATAATGTTATTAACGTTTTAATGTTAAACCTTATATTTTAAACCGTTTTGGTATCTAATGTAATGGTTATTATAATCAATATGTGAGGTTAATTTGTTGTTACGTTTGTGATAAGCACATTAATAAACTTATTGTATTTTAACAATTTTTAAATTAATATCTAATTCAAAAAATTTTTAAATTACCATTAAAATGAACCCAATGACGTAAGTAAAATTTTTGTTCTTGCTTGTATCATATTTATACAAAACAGTTTTTTTTACATTTTTATTCACTTTACAACTATCCAAAAAATAAAACAGTAATGTATTTGAATGTAAATCTATAGTTTTCATACATTCCTTCCCTTACTACAAATTAAGTAGGTACTGTATTAAGTTTCAATTGAAATAACTTGTACATACATGATACGAGTGTACGAAAATATCTATTATAATAATATAAATATAATTTTTAATTTGCATGTTTAACATCTTGCCACTTTTACAAGTATAACTTTTCTGCATGAAACTGTTCATAGTATTTTAAAACAAAAATTATTAATTATTACCTGACAGAAGTGTTAGATTAAATATTTCAAATGAAACAAATAATTTTTTAAAATTAAATTAATACAGAAATAAGTAATTATGTCAATATAAGTTTGTGATAAAAGTTGAAAAAACAAATCAATACCGAGTACTTAATAGAGTGTGGCATGAACTGAGCCTAATTATGCACTTAGTACGAGTTGTCTGGGTCCATACAAATCCGGCTTGTGCAGAGCTCTAGTATTTACTTATTGTATTTGCAGTTTACATGTCAAAATATCTATAGTTATTAGTTTTCAAAAAATGTATTATAAAAAAAAATTTTCAACAAGTGAAATAGAAATGTATTTATAAAAAGTGGTAAAATTAATGAAATCATCAAAATTAATAAAAAATTACCATAATACCCTTAAATTTTTCGATAAAACAAAAAATGCGAATTAAAAATGTACCATTAGATTCTACGTTCCAGGAAATTCCTGTAAATTCCTGTAAATACTATGTACGTATTAGAGCAATTTATGTAACATGGTTGCTATTTAGGTTACCGGTGACCTAAACCGAATTATTTTTCACGGGTCGTTTAGGTTTCCGACGGTTCTTCAAACCTTTCATTTTATTTAATAGACTATATTTTTTGATGGTGTAGAGAACAAAGCTTCCTAATGACACCGTCTTAGAGATTGTGGTAGTCAACGTGTTAATAATATTTAGTTATCTTCTACCAGAGAAACTAAGTTTATCGGTTTTAAATAATGGAGAAAATGAAATAAACGATAAAAAATTAGTAAAAATATTGTTGATATTGAATTACTAAACTTGGAACTATAAGAGAGTTGAAATTATGCAGAAAATATCGTACAAATTCAAAACTGAAAATGCAGTTGAAACTTTTCTTCAGTATGATGAAAATGTTTTCTTGGCTGTTCATAAACTATTGAAATACCTAATTAATTTATTTTTAACTACTTTAAAAATCTACCTTAGAAAAATAGTATTGGAGAATAAATTAAATGGTTTGGTGCTTCTAAATTTAAATTAAGACATTATATTTACACCTTTAAATGTAATTAATAATACCTTTTAATTTACAATGTCTTAAACTTGTTAACATCTAAAACCAGAAAATTAAACTTTAGACTAGACTATTTTTAATTTTTTTATTTTGTACAATAGATAATATATTATAATAATAATCTTACCCTCCTGCTACTTAAAACTTCTTACCACTTCAAAATCCTGAGCACTCCACTGTATAGAACTAAAAATATTCAGCAATTTATTTAGAATAATTGTATTATTTATACAATTTTCATCTTAGATATTTCTGATATAGATAAATATAAGGTATTGGCACCAGTGGGCTAACGTTTATTAAATATCTATTTAGTTTTATTTTGTGATTTATTTTTCTAGGAATATGAGAAATGTGAAAAAACTGAGTGAACAAAAATTGCAAAGTCTACCTAAAATTTCTTAGCATGATTAATATAAATCAAATGCATGGATATTTGTTGGCAGTTCACCATATGACCTTTCTGAAGGAGACATTATAGCTATATTTTCTCAGTAAATTAATTTTATATAATTTATTCCTCTAAGGCAAATTTATAACAGAATTAACATACTTAACTATTATTTTTATTATTAAATATAGAAAAATTACCAACTTAAATTTAGTACGTGATAAAGACACAGAAAAACAAAAAGGATTTTGTTTTGTATGCTATGAAGACCAAAGAAGTACAATATTGGCAGTAGATAATTTCAACGATACGCGAGTTCTAAGTCGTATATTACGTGTTGATCATGTTAAAGATTATAAAGCATCAAAAAGTTCAGAACCTACCCGTAAGATTAAAATTCAAAGAGGTATTAAATAGGTTTATTACAGTGTGCGCCCATTTCCATTTTCATTCTAGTACCCTGTCTATAGCTATAATACTTCATTCATGTGTTTGGTCAATCAAAGTAATAAAGATCCTTTTTCTTCGATATTTGTAACTATTTTAATAATTACTATAGATATAAATTTTTTTTTTTTTTTTTTGAGTTTATTTTATTTTACTCTATAACATTTTTGACCTTTTGATCGATATTCGGGAAAATAAACAAACAATCTAAATAATCGTGTCCGGAACAAAAGATTATAAAATGTATTGTAATTATCCAACGCCCATAGTGCAGTGTATACGCAGAGTACCGAGTGTTGAATAAGAAAAGAGAAAAAAAGGTCGAACCTATAATACACAATCGTGATTACGTCTGTATGTAAAATGAACCGTTTTTACGTGGTGTTCAGTGGTGTGTAAACGCTCGCTAAATGAGTATTACAGTACTATAACGTATACGTGTAAAACCGACTTACCGCGTAATAATGTGATGGGCGTGATGAAAAACGCTTTTGGTTTATTGTTTTAATTATTTCGTGTGTTATACATAATATATATATTATTATTATTATTTTTTTTTAAATGTCTGGTCATACGTATACGCGATACTTCAGCACGAGCCGACCGGCCGTAATTATTGTTGTTTGTCCATTGATTAATGCGCTCGTTTTCGCTGCTGGGTCTCTTGGGCTTACCGTAGTAGGTACGATATTAATTTCATTTTTATTTTTTTACGCCCAGAATAGGCATGTATGAGCCTCCTCCCGCACCCCGCGAGAATCGTTGACATTTCGATTTTGACGACGAACGCAGTCGGCACATGTCGTCACGGCCATTGGACTGCATAATAGATATGCGCAAAATTCATGGTTGAACAAATAAATTCAATGCTTGTTTTGTTGTTATATTATATATATGAAAACCGCGTGCTGCACGTGAGACGGAACCCTTTTCTTGACGCCGCGTGTATTCTTGAAAAGGTTCCTGTGTACACGTACACATAATAATTTTGTCCCCTTCACTTCGAATAAAAAAAAAAATAATAATAATACAATTTTGTGGAAAACATTAACGATCCGGAAAAAAAAAACTGACTTTATCATAGGAAACGGAAATAGTTTGCTTCTTTTTTCAAGAGAGACAAAAAATCATTAAAATTAATGTGAAATTTGCGTTTGACGGCAGAAACACGTTATAATATTTTTAAATTAAATGTATAGTTATAGATAAACTTAAAATTAAAAACTAAAATTAGTTTTACTGAAAAACGTATAACCACTCAAGAATAATTTTTGAAATTTTATGTTTACATCATAATATATACTTTCCTCTGTAAAAAGAGACATATAATTGTAATAATTATAGCCAAATAGTCAAAACAAATTTGTTCAATTTTTTTAAATGATAATATTTTAACATCTATAATGCCCGAAAAATTTATCTTTTATTTATTTTTTATCTATCAATTGATTTATGTATTTAACTACCCATATTAAGGGTCTACTGGCGATACGTTATTTTCACTAAAAAATCCTACATAATTATTTTTTCGGGGACATATGCTCATTATATGTCGTCGTTGAATCATTAATAGGTTAATAACATTATCAGAGAACCTTTTTCAAGTGAGTATACAATATTGCAATAATAATTGGTATAGGGCTAAATATTTCCATCCAACATATGATATGGGCTGTTACAATCTTTTATTACTTATAGAAACTGAAGTTTAGGCTACAAAAACGCATAATTATGTTATTAACAGGGAGTCGAAAGTTAATCGTATAGAATGTATGCATTTCATATTTTTTTATATTTTTGCTTCTTGGGCTCTTGTAAGGTATATGCACACTATAAAAATAATTGTATAGAAATGTTATGTATTCTTTAGGCATACACAAATATATATACGATAAGTTCGATTACCTATTTAGTAGTTTCCAGGAAGAAAACAAACATAGTGAAATCATTTAAGAACGCTCGTTTAGAATTAGTGCATTAATGTGGAGTATAGATTTTCAAAGTTTTACTCGGTTCGTACTCCACAATATGTATAATAGATATAAGGATGTTTTATCGAAAATACATAACATGGCCACGCGTAGAACTTACACCGTACGGTTTCCTTCAATGACATTTGACGCGGTATTATAATTCTCCGAGACGGCAATAAACCGTAATCGTCCCCTTGTTTCATTACGAAATTATTTCTCTGACAAACTAAGCGTACTTTATTGCTGCGCACGCCTCCATCGTTCTTTATTACCTTTAGAATAGAATAGAAATTAGGCAAAAGCGCACGTAGATGCAGTAATCTCTTTTTCGTATTTTTTAAATATCACTTGCAATAAAAGTCTTTTTTTAACAGCGCCGTTTGTATTTTTTTCATTAAGTTTATCACAGAGAATGTCAATAAATTTGCGCGGACTTAATTTTTCCCTCTCGTTTACGCCGATGATGCTCTACAGGAAAAAATAAATAAAAAGGCACACTTTTAGTACACGTATTCCGTGTTTTTGTTTTTTATTAGTCTGGTTTTTTTTCAAATAAAAGCTCACGTAGTATTAAACCCTTTTTTTCGTTCATTATTAAAATTTGTGCTTGTGTTAAAAAGTCTTCGGGCTCTTAATTTCCTCATCACCCTTCAAATTAAAATGAAAGTAATAAAATATCCAATGCATTTATTGCATTCGTATTTTACAGTTTTTTTAGCCTTTTTTTTTTTTTAATTTTTACGAAAACAAAACGATTGTTTCTTAGTACCGCTGATTATCGCTATAATAACCAGTCAAATTTGAGTTGTTTTAAATGTATATGTTAATAATTCAATGGAATTCGTTTCGTTATATCGAGTATATTGTTATGTTTATAGTGAAATATGTAACATAATTATTCATTTAAGTTACTTTGAATCTAATAAGTAAATATATATGTCTAGTATAAAAGACATTTCCATTAATTTTCAATTTTAATATCGTCAAACGTCGATGTAAAATGTATGTACTTGTGTATTGAGTTGATCGATAGTTAAATATGTTCTATTTTTGTATTAAAATTCGTATACATTGTATCACTTTTCGCATTGCCAAACAAAAATGTATTTTTCTTTGGCCGTTCTTAAAAAAGCTAAACCTTTTTTATTCTTAATTTAATTTATTGTTTTTTTTTCTTGCTTATTGTAAGCCCATCATAAACATGTCTTCAACAGTACAATGTTTTTTCTTTCCAGAGTATTAACCGCCTTAATCCTGAATTTTAATTACGTCGAGTCTACCCTAAGACTTCGGGTTATTAGTGTTAATTAATTCGGCTTGAGCTTGTTGTGATGGGGAGGGGGAGCTAATAGGCGAACTACGGGAATTACCGGGCACGTCACTTGTCTTCCCATGGGATTTCTCCATACATACCGGAGTGCGGGTAACCCTTTCGTTTGCTCATGACTATATAGTTAATACAAAAGCTTATTAATTGGGAATTGGCCCCCTGCAGTTCACATGTCGAGGTTTCTAAAGCTCACGATCAGACCTCGTTATGACCATGTTCAATACATTACAATATACAAGGATTTAAACACGAGGATATATATTATAAAATATGAAATCTAATATTATGTCTTTGATTTTTTCATTGAGCTGCTAATATAGTATCTTGCATATACATGTACTTTAATTACGACTAACGAGAGTAGCTGAATTAAAGTAATTTATTTTGTATGAATTGTACTCAAATGTGTCAGTAGGTAATGTGGAATGCTTTGTAATGTTGTTGAAATTTTTTTTCATGTAAAAGTGTTGAACGAATAAATTTTTTTTTTTTTATTAAATTACCATCCTGGTACAAGCGTCAGCTATCGAATAAAAACGACTGCGAATACTCGGAAAGTCACATAAATGCGCAGTTAATACTTAATCAAGAAAAGTTTTTTATTAAAGATATCTCTCGAAAACATACGTTATTGTATGATCACCAAAATAAAAGGGAAAAAAACAAAATCATCGTTTTTTCATGTTTGAAAAATATGCCGATCGACGAGTTTAACGAGACAAAAAGATAAACAGTAAATTAAAGTTACATGAATGATTACCATAGCGTTTCTTCTACAGATCAACAAATGCGATAAAGTTATTCATCGGTATTTATAACGGTCCGAACATAAAATGTGATGTCACCAATCCTCAGTGTTCGCGAGAACAAAAATGTACCAAGTTCTTTCGGATATTATAATGACGTAATGAAAAAAAAAAGGGAAACTAAAAAAAAATGGACAAACGCGGGATTTGTGTATAAAAAGTGCACATACATGTCCATTAGCGCTCGACGACGTGACCGGAATGTGTTCTAATCGTTTGCCGCGTGATCATCATTTTTCACACTCATATAATATCATATTCAAAACTGATTTCTAAAAAGCTCCGTCAGCGACGGACGAGAAATCGTTTAACGGTTGCAAACGGTGGAAGGAAAAAAGGTCGTGCAATATGTCGCGTGTACTATAATATAGATCAACGCGGTGACGAACCGAGCTGTGCAGCTGTACACAAACCATTAACCGGACGATAAAAAGCGAGTTTAACTTTTGAACCCGAATTACATTGGGAATTTTTCAACAGCGGCGGCGACAAGAAAAAAAAACTGTTATAAATGAAGATTGATAGTATAGTAGGGCGCGCGTTGAAAGGATGACCGCTAAGGCGTGTTCGAGGCAATTTCACTCCCTTCTAATATCTGTACGTATCATATATACGTAGATAGTACAAGTGAGGTAAAAGGGTCCCATGACAGTTTAGCGATGACCTGAACTTGTTGGACCGCGGTAATAAAAATGGTAAAAAAACAACATGGACCCTTCTAAGATTATTTAATGATCGAGCATATACGATTATAATGCATACTATGTACTATATAAATAATGTGTATCGGTTTATATACCATTTATACCATAATAACTATATATATAGTTTACACAAACCTTGAAATTCGGATGCCGGTTT